ACCTTCCTGCAAGTAAACCCGTCCGTCACAGCCTGTCTCAAATCAGGATACGCAATCACACAGTAAATGCACCCGCCGACACACACCTACCCGGCTGAACTGTTGATGGATATGAAAGCATCCTTGCGGTACAGCCCAAGCTTTCACGAATAGACCCTTGGCAGGGGTAGTCGACGAACCCTCGACTCACGAGTTATGGCAAGGACCGGGGAGCTGGTGAGAGTGACAGAGGCGTTCACACTGGTTACCCGTTGGCAACCCACACCAACTACCCGAGGACGGCCAACCGCCCGAGCTTGGGCTCCGAGCTTGGGCAATTCCCAACAGAACAGTCCTGCCCAAGGAGGCAAGATCCCAGCTCGCTACAAGTGGGGGCGAATTTGGTAGAGAGCGCTAGGCCGGGGGAGAAGCTCTCTGTCGAATAGGATGAGGTCCACCTCTCCCATCCTGGAGCCTGCAATTTCCATCTTGGTCACAACCTCCAGTCACTAATACGAATCAGTTCGATGGTACGGCCGTCTTCATACTGTCCTACGGCATAGCTGCTGGCGCGAGGCGTGGGGGACTTGGCTGTCGATGTCAGTGGCTGTCGTAGGCAGTTTCATGTTCAACAATCGAGGTTAGGCTGTCGGTGGCGAGAACCGTCGTTTTACTTCATGTATGTCTTGTCTTTTTTTCTTTTTCCTGCGCGCGTTGGGTTGTTGCGGAACTTTTCAAATCAGAGGCGCGAGGCTAATTTTGTATGGTAGATGGTGGCAGGCATGTTCAGTTATGACATGTCATGTTTACATTCGACCATACTGCGACCACGGAGCCGACGGCCATAAAAAAAAGTGCTGTGCCTATTGTGAATGGATAACCAGACCACCCTGACACAAAATGCCGCCAAGTTGCAGGCGCCTACTGTTGAGCCTGCTGCATATGCACCCCGGGATGCAAGACAGTCACACATTAGAAACACCGATGTGGAAAGTCTCCATCCTATCATTCATGCCGTCACAATACAAACCGGTCATAACGCGCCGGCTTTATGGCACTGTGATGAAAAGGACGGCACGCAGAGATATACGTTTCTAAGATGAGATGGCCGCGGTTCCCACCAAATTCCATTCCAACATGCTTGGCACATAACACGTGTTGATGGCCTATCCCCTGGGCAAATACCTAGCAGTCTCGATATGTTGCACCTCCAGTCCTGACCCAGGCACTTTCTCGACCTTCAAGTCCAAGCACAGAGAATATACCAGCAGATGTAGGGCAAGTAGTCCTAATCCCCCCGTGTCGAGACTCGCCTTGCTCTAGTCACTACTAATTCCCCATGGATTGCTCATTGTCAACATGGGTTGGAGGTGTCTGTGCACACGGGCGAGCAGCTAGCTCAGGACACCTAGGATCTCTCTTTTCTCCTCCCTCCTGACATTGCTCACAGTGCAATGAGCTCATATTAATGATATGGTTGATTACTCCTGGGAGATAGCTCCATAATGTTGCAGCGAGGCGGCATAAACTCTCGCAGTCAAATATCTCAGGACCATCAACTCACCTCACCCAAAACAAAGGTCGATCATGCCCTGGCCGCGAATCTGCAGTACATGCATAAGGTTCATGCTCAGAACCCTGGCCAGCCAATTTATATTTCCATGCTCTACCCCGTAAAAATGGCAGTGTTGTGCATTGTCTGCTACGTATCCCTTACTTCTGCATGGCCAGGAAATGGACAATATCCAGAGCTATGCTTGATAACATCATGTCCTGTGACAAGGGGCACCAATGCCAAATGATCGAATATCCCTCGGGCTGACCTGTCAACCGGGTGCGCAACAAATACCTGGCAGATGTCTACGGCAATCGCCTAACAATCCCCGTCAGCAATCTCCCTGGACCTACCGGCTTAATTAGCTGGTGTGGATTCTCACCTACGACATAATGAAGAACGGGCATTGTTCGAATAATGCCCGTCCTTCCATGTGGCCGCCCCCACCCAATGGGGTTGACACCAATTGTTCTCAGGGCGCACAATTATTAGGAGAGGGGAATTGTGCCTCGTGCTCTCCTCGTTCATCAGAGTGTGACCGGTGCGGCAAGCTTAAATGGCCCACTTCCGGAATCACACCCGTGAATAGATTGGCAGAGGAAGCACCACCCAGGGTGGCACGTAGGGAATGGGGACAAGTGGAGGCCTTAATGGAGTCGTCTAGCCATATCAGAACCGGTCGGTCGGTCGTTCGGTGGGCAGACAGCGAATCTCTCTCATCCTGGACCACAAAATTAGGCCTGCCAGGGCTTGAAGGAGCTCTGAGGATCGAGAGCCCAAAGATCTGGTCCGGAACATGCGCCATGCGAGAAACTCCATCGACTATTTACAATGCCCTGGTCATCCACGAGACTTGCTCTCTTAGCGTGGTCACTACGCCTGCAAATGGTCATCCATAAGATGCCGCTGCTGGCACTTTCCATACGTCGAGTACGTGACCGGCATGGAGCCATAGCCATTTCCAGATGAGATCGTACACACGTATTGGCTGCCTCCAGTCGTGCCACCGAGTTGGATACCCCCAGTGGCCCATTGGCCAACAACTTGACGCCTCCTAGGGATGTATCTCTTCCTCCTATCGACCGAACCAATGGGTTGGTATTATGGTATTACGCTGCTGCTTATGCCACTAGAGGACGCTATCACAGGCAAGCCACGGTTACGGGCCGTGTTCGACCGGCGTCTCAGAGTGTCAATTGAAATAATTAAGGCGCCGGTGTCTCGAGTCAAAGCGCCACTCACACCTTCGAGGGCCCCCCGATACCAAATAGGCACATGCTTTTGTGCACTCCTTTTCCTTTTTCTAGCCTTGGCTTTCCCAGCTCTTCGGTCTGGAGAAGGCTCCGCCAGTGACTAGCGAGTGTGTGTGGATGGAGCCTAGCTCCTTCGTAATATTAACAGCAAATGAACTATTCCATATCTGCAGACTTGCTTTTTGTCCTTCCTCTGTTTTCTTTTTCTCACTAGGCCCTAAAGACTGTGATAGTGAGGCTTGCTATTGAGCCTAGAATGGCCCCCATCTCTTTCGGATGACCATTTTGGTAAGTTTCCAGTGCCATGTTGATACGTGAATCTTCCCACAGTGTGCAGTATAGTTCTCTAAGTTGCCCAAAAGGGCAAGGGATCCCTAATCAGCGTTAATGTAATTGACGCCGTCGGGGAAGCGCTCAGGAGTAGTCCGTGGTGAAGAATCAATACCGCATATCCTAGCGGAAAGCCCGGGGATACAGGATGTAGGATGCCCTTAGTCAACCAATTACGCAGCTACAAAGGAGAAAATCCTAGAAGATGGAAATTCAAGTGTTCTTAGTAAAAATACCTGCCCACTGTCACCTACTTGCTCTTGTTGTTGACTTACGAAGGAGTGTCTGGTCAGTAGTTGGTGGTGCTAACGTTTTCTCTTATGAAATACCCTAGAGTATGTCACATTCAGAGTATGTCGAAGCTATCGGAAAAATATTTGGAGAGCTGTTGATTAGGTGACTGAGGGTACAGGAAGGCCATGTAGGCCGTTCCAAACCCCTATCATTGGGAACTTAGGTCTATAGACTGTTGGTGCGTAAGGATAAAAAATGACCAATAGCCGGTAACAGTGAATCCATCCCGTGTAAGATCTCACCTGGTGTTGGGTTATTAGAGCACGTATTTGCGAACAGTCTACGTAACATCATTTATCCTCTGACTATTCTCTTTGCCGTCACTTATATCCTGGCCATTCTATTCACCGCACCCCACAGCCACCAACTTTGTCCAGTAATACACCGTATTTCATCATCTACCACACAGGAAGTTAGCCAAAGGTAAACTACTACGCAACTAGACTCCGAGTGATCAGCAAACCAGTATGATTCCCTATGCCTTGAACTTGAAAGATCGTTGAAGAGATTCTTAAGCGTGTGAAGTATTCACTAGCACAAGCTGTTTTAAACCAACACCAACCTAAAGACACAATTCACACAAGAAGTTCCGGTTCGCTGGTGAGGGACCTTGGGCAGATATAACGGTGAAAACCATGGCCAAACCCGGAAGCTTCCATCAACTTCAAAAGCCCTGAGTGGTTCACGTGGAAGGGCATTATGAGTGATGACGCCAATGTGCGCTGATATATGAATGAATGCAATTTTTCCATGATATCTACGAATTGCCAAAATACCCCAGCTCGAATCTAAATGACAAGAATATGAACCTAATATCTGAGCTTAACCCCAGGGTAATTCACGTGAAGGAAAGAGATGTATCCTCTGGCACGCCCTGGAAACATCAAACTCTACGGCCATCGGACAATCGATGATATTGTCTTCGACTTTATGAATTCAAGGCTAAAATCATATGGCCATTCTGTATATTCTGTAGATATTCGCTGTCTCGTCATATAAAGGTTCATCGAACGCTTTGGTTTGATTACCTGACCAAACATCAAAGTCGATGCCAACGACAGAGCCTCAGAAGTCAGTTGTTCATCATGAGAGGAAACTACACCACAAGTTACTGAATTATATATTCTGTTTCTGTAACAGAGTAAGTAAGTCTCTATCAGGAAGAAATTGTGTTCACTGCATTGGCAGTGAAAGTCATTGCATATAAGAGACATGCCTGATCACCAGAACTCATGAAACATGAAGGCGGTGCGGTGTTTCCTTCCAAGAGAAATCGAAAATTAGTTAAGGCGCCATTTGTCCAATGCTAGCCATTACACCTATAAAAACATCCCCGGCCCAGTCGCCGATGGCTAGGGATGAATGTCTTTCGAAGGGCGTGATGCAGATCGCTGAACAAATCTGTATACCGATAGCGGCCATCGGTCCGAGGCCGAGGTCAGTTTGCTTTCGTCATCGACCACAAAACAACAAACACAACACAACACGCCTCATATTTCATTCAACACAAACCCTCAGCAAAGAGTCGAGTAGACAGCGTACCATTCACAAAGCGGGAACGCAAGCAACCCAAAAAAAAAATAAAAAAAATGGCCCAAGGATCCTTCTCGAAACTCGCAGGTGTCACAGCGCTTCTCTTCGACGTCTTCGGCACCGTCGTCGATTGGCGCACTTCTGTCACCGATGAGCTGAACCTACGCGCCTTTCGGAAGCTCTCCTCTGACCTGTCGCCCGAGCTGAAATCGAGGCTCACCGCCCTCACCGAGGCGGACTGGGGCCGTTTCGCAGAGCAGTGGAGGAAATCGTACGGTAGCTTCACCGGCAGCTTCAACGCCTCCACGGACGCATGGAAGACGGTCGACCAGCATCACCGCGACAGCCTCGAGGAGCTCCTGGCCGCCTGGGGGCTCGAGGGGCTCTACACGTCCTCTGAGCTCGACTCTCTCAGCCTGGTGTGGCATCGGCTGGCGCCCTGGCCTGACTCCCCCGATGGTCTTGCCAAGCTGGGCGAGAAGTACACGACGTCCACCCTGTCGAACGGGAACCTGGCTCTGCTACAGGACCTCAACGACTTCGGCTCACTGGGGTTCCATAAACTCCTCTCCGCGGAGACATTCAAGGCCTACAAGCCCGCCCCGGCCACCTATCTTGGAGGCGTCCGGGAGCTGGGTCGCGAACCACATGAGGTTGCCATGGTGGCGGCACACATTGGCGATCTGCTTGCGGCAAGGGAGTGCGGGCTTAGGACTGTGTATATCGACCGGCCGCGAGAAGAGGCATCTCCGCAGGATGAGAAGGACAAGCTCGCGGCCAAGGATCTGATAGATGTGTGGGTGACGGTTGAGGAGGAAGGGCTTCTCGCTCTGGCCAATAAGATTATTGCGTCATGAACGGTTCAAGGCTTTCTATCTTACTCATATCAACTTAATTATAGGCTCTCTTCCTAAGGCCTCTAAGAATTAGTTGCGGTGGCTTGACGCCCAGAAGAGGTCAGCAGGAAATCCAACCAAACCTCAACCGCCTCTCACATGTCAGTTGTCTATTTGGTGAACCCTCTGCAGCGCCGCAACCTAAACACCAGCACTATCTTACCATTCTCTCCTCTTCATGCAGCTTCGTATACCATACCAAAGAGGACTGACTGCTTCTTCCTCACATATAAGCGCCCATCCCATTCCCCCAGTCGCATGATCCGGTTTGGCCTGGCCCACAGCAAGTTACACGTGGTGGCTGCAAGAGCAAACTCTCAAGAAAAAGAAAAAACCCACGAGCGAAATGCAAAGTGATGTGTTCATGACGACGTAGAGGGCTGGTGCTTGGTGATATTCCATCAGACCGATAGTATAAACCGACATGGGACTCGGGCAGGCCGACGTCAGCTGCAACGCCATCACTTGATCTCACCGGCCAGACGGGGCAGGACCTTCATGCAAGTCTGTCCCCCAAATCCCATCGACAATGAGCAATTAGTACCCTCCCCCAGCCCGCATTCACGCACACACACATGCAAGCAACATCGTTTTTGGATTGGCTCCTCACTGCCCGGCCTGCGCGGGGGGAAGGGGGACGGACCCCCCACGGAAGGATCCGTTTCGAGAAGCTCCAGCGACTTCTTTTGCACGTTTCAATCTTCTCTAGGAAGGTCCGCTAGGCTCCAGGGGGGAGTCAGTAGAGGACTTGACTTCATCACATTGATATCACTCCTGCAATATTATGTAGTCTGCTCTAGCTCCCGCCCGGGACTTGGATATGGCGGATTTAGGAATAAAACGGTCTGCCCACTTGAGCTAAATCAGTTGATGGAGGTTTACCCATTGGCTGGGTCGTACAGTGGCACCCCATGTTGTTTCAACAAGCTACTGGATGTGTAAACTGCTGCAGAATTCCTCGATCCCCTGAAGCCTCGAGGTGCCATCGCATCCTGATGCTCGATTGATCATCACCGCCGTTCGATTATCTTACATTTCTGACGTAATTGAGTCAGTCAACCCACGCCTATCATGCTGCCCTCGTGTCGTCACTGTTGCCTGCGGTTTGCCCCGGAAGGCGAGGGAATCACAGAAGGGCTCTTCTAGAAGGCCGGCTAGTCCTGGTGAGGAAGGCCCACGGCAGTTTGTCGTGGGTGATGCGAACAAGAGGCTGGCAGTTGGAACGATCGACCGGCCTGCTGGGATATCCGACCGTTGGACCTTGTTAACTGGGCCCTAGACCGCTAGATTGTTCGGTCTGTTATTGTCGCTGGGTTTCTATTAGTTTCCACGGCGATGTACTGTATTTGAAACCCAAAGACAGACAAACGCACGTATCCGATTTTAAGGGTCTACAAGTGCCTCCCTGCCGTTGATCGGCCTTCGGGCTCCCAGAAACGGGGATCGCAAGTCGCATCTCGGAGAAACGTGAACCGTCAGTCAAGACGGCCCCTGGCATCGACGGTTGGCAACTCGCATGTTTATCTTTGTGAAACCAACAGTGATACAACCCTAATGTTCGGGGCATTTCAGTGTCTCGGAGCGGCGACCTTTATTTGGAAGTGGTACGGCAACCCGACAGGACGGCCGGGTGAGGAGGAGATAGTGGTTAGGTCCTCGTTCTTAATGAACCGTTGTGGAAGGCAGACGGCAGCTATCCGCCCCTTCCCGTGTCCAGGGAGGCACTGATCTTAATCTCCTTGTCATGGTGACAGGCGCTGTCATTAAGGATAACAACCTGCAAGGGTCTTCGTTGCCCCTTGGTAGAACATGTCGCTACAAAACAAGACGTTGTTGAATCCAGGGTTGTCTCGGCTCTCTTGTCCCGTCTTGTCTGGCCTTGCTCGGAGGAAATTACAATTCACGGGAGGCTGCTACGAGGTCGCGGACGATCATTCTGTTCTGGTTTAGCCATCATGATAGATGGTAGGCTGGGCTGACTGAGCTGACCTTGTACCACGTCAGTATTGTAGGCCAAACCAGATTATTGGTAATAAAAAATCGATAATCGTGTCCATCGTCTGACCTGATCGCGGGGAATGCCGAGAGATCAGTGAACAGGTAGCTGAGAGAAGCTCTCAATCATATAATGTGTGTGTGGGTTTGGGGCATCCACTGTCAGATTCAGTAGTAAGAGCAGCGACGGATTGGGGTGAGACAGGGCCAACAGCAGGCAAGGTGCACGGATAGACAAGACTAGGACGGGGAGAAATGATAATGCAGTCATGCCAGGAGGGTAAATGCGGGCAGCATCTGGAGTCTGGACGCAGGCAGACAGCGAGGCGTGACTGGAGGCCGATGGACGGGCTGCTGCGCGGTTGAGGCTCTGTTCGAGACCCGAGCCAATGTTTACCAACACATGCAAGTAACGCCTCTAGGCTGCTGCGCGGCCGGGACTCTGGATGCTGGTTGGTCCTGCGTTCGCGGTCGAGGTCTCGAACGTGGAATTATGGGGGAGGGAGGATTGTGTTTCCACGACTGCTTACACGAGGGAGGCAATGCAGCTGCCCCGCAGGAAGAATGAGAAATCTGTCGAGAACAAATCATCCATTGGCAGAACACGGAGGCGCTTCGCAACAACACGGGGCGGCGTGCAGTGGCAGAAGCAAGGTCGATGTCGCTATCGGGGCTTTTTTCGCCAATTGCTGTTCGGGCGGGGATGTTTAAACTCCAGGATCCCTCCAGAAAGGGGCGGGTACGTACTAGTTAGTAATGCAGTGGGCGAATGCAACCTCGCCCATTCCATCCCAACAGCGCCCATCTGCAGATAGCATTGAGTCGCACCCAGCGAGCATCGTGCCCACCATTGGCTGCGGGCAGGGTGACATATCATCCCTATGGAACAATGTTCCGAAACAGACCAGGCAAGTAGTCCGTCTGTCAATCACTTGCCATGCCACAAGGGATACCTGGATGGGATGAACCCGCCAGGGCGAACGAAGCCAGCCAGGCCAAGGGCGTTGCGGACTCGGGGAGCAGTGCCGACGACCGTTGATTAATTGCTAGTACCAATCCTGCTAAAACACGCAAGGTTGGTGGTGGGATTAATTGTCCAAAGGGCCCTCCGGTCGGGCTTTTGGTTTGCCAAGTCGAGTAGCGAGCGCGCGTCGCAAAGGCACTGCCAATAGGGCAGGCAGCACGCTGATTCGCATGTTGCTTTTGCGAGTGCGTGTGCTGCAACGCTCAGCCCAGCGCTTGCGTTGCGTCTTGCGTTGCTTTTTCGCCGGGTCGCTCGCTGTCTTGCAATGAATCGCCGACCCGAACATACATCCAGCATGCATCCGTATCTATGGAGCCCCCTTCCGCCCATCCATCCATACACACACGGGCTGGACAGGCAGTCATCGCTAACAGCCCAACCATTTTACTAGGTACAACCTAGACCTCCCACGTCCCCACCCAGCAAGAGCCAGCTCATCTTGTGTGCAGTATTGTCGACAACCTAGACAGACAGAGCAGGTAGCCAACCCCCGCCCCCAATCACGGCCAAGAGCTCGCACGACCCCGGCCCCCCCTGCCACTGCCGCAAGCTCTGAGAGTTCTTCGATTGCCGCCGGATGCACAAATCATAGTAAGCCACAGGCACTCCCTCAACTCTGCTGCTCACACTCGATGTGCAACGTAGCCGGGCATTGCAGCTCGCTCCCAATAATGACACCTCACGGCGCAGCCAAGGGCACGACCTGCCACCCGCCTCCTCAGGATTGGACGAAGCTGCGGCTATGGCCTACCCATTCAACACCGCGATGCCACTTGTTCTCGCACTAACTTGTTGCTCCTCCAGGTTAAGGGGGGGGACAGGGCAGGGCCAAGGACCCGACCCAAGGCGCGGTACTGGCCCCACCACCTGCTAGAGTTGGCTGGAGCCCTGTAGAGCCCGGGTGTAAATCCCCTGGCACAGACCCGGCCGGACGCATTGCATACCTGCCCGCCTAGCAGTTCCGCTTGCTCACCCTTCCTCCATAGCAGCAGCCTCCCGCCCTCCCTATTGCCTGTACGTCGGCAGGTAGGTCGTAGGTAGCAGGTACTAGGCCGAGCTTGGGTGGTAGGCAAATGTACGGGGGGGGGCAGGTACCTCGTCCACGCGCTGTCTAATTACCACCAGAGCAGAGGCGCTCTGCTCTCTGCTTAGCCTTCTCTCCCCCTTCTCCCCTTCTCCCCTTCTCCCCTCTTCCCTGCCATTTCATGGCTGGTGCCAAGTTCGCATCTAGTGCCAAAGAGCTCCAGTAAAGTACCTACCATCAGAGTGCCACCACCACTACCACTAACCGACGCAAGCCCCCCAGTCCAGTTATCCATTCTTCCTCCATCCCATCTCATCCATCCCCGCCGAGGAACTGCACTTCGAAGCTGTCCCATCCCTCAACCGCTTTTTGTCCACCTCCATATCTCTTTTTTTTTTCTCTTAACGATCTTGCTTGAGCTCCCAACATAGCAGACGCCCACCTCACCTACGGTAGCCTTTCCACAAGAGTCTCAACCGCCCATCATGGCGGGACGAATGGTGTTGTACAAGCTGGTGGTGCTGGGAGACGGCGGTGTGGGAAAGACGGCCCTCACAATTCAACTGTGCTTGCAGCACTTCGTCGAGACGGTGAGTATCTGGATTGTTCGATCGCTTGCACCGTGGCCTCTGGGCCGCAGTTTCTGCCCCTTCCGTCGCCTTTTTCTCGTCGCTGCAGCCCGCTACTGGGCTTCCTTTAGCACCTCCCCTCCACCCCTCCTCAATTTCCTAATTGCACCCAACCTAGCTACCGGCAAATGACCTGAGCTCTCGCTGACCAGTGTAAAATTTTTTTCGCCATTAGTACGACCCTACAATCGAGGATTCGTATCGCAAACAGGTCGTCATAGATGGGCAACCATGCATGCTCGAAGTACTCGACACTGCTGGGCAGGAAGAGTACACCGCGCTTAGGGAC